CACAGTTTCGTGGGTCGTGGGTCTCTACCTAACCTTAGTTATTTTGTTTTGTGTGACCAATTTTTTGTTATTCAGTAAAAATGGAAAAGTTTATTGAAATTGTTCGAAGCTTTAGTGTCTTGTATGATATTAGTAATGAAGATTACATGAGAACAAAATATAACAAATCGAGAACCAAGGAAAAAAACAAAAGCAGCTTATTCAAATTATATCTATAGTCTTTTGTTGAAGGATTTCAATTTTTAACCCTTAGCATTTGTGAAAGTTTTCAAGATATTTATATTTTCAGATTAGAAATTGTTAGTGGGATATTAGGTAAAAATTAAAAGGTCTTTAGGAAATAAAATCTTTATTTAAACTAATATACTGAAGGCAGTCTATCTTTTCGTTGAATGGTATTTGCGAAAACAATCTCCTATGCATAGTCCAGGTTTTTCGTCACAATCAGCACACTCGTAAATTGTGTTTTTCCTAATATTATGGATAGAACATATTCTACAGAAATATTTGACATGGGTGTGGGCTGTGTTCAATATGCGTTAGTATTGAAAATCGTGTACTTGGACTAGGTTGGACCATACGTAGGCTGCGCGTGGGATGTGCGTGGGCTGTGCTCAATTTGCGCCGGGCCTGATTTTGAGATTGCTATTTTGCTCGAAAATGTTCTCGGCTAAGATTCATTTTTCTACCGTTATAATATACGGTTTCGTGTTTCGACTTATTGTATAGCAATGAAATTTTCGATTTATGTCAACAAAAGAGTGAGGGTACATTTGTGTCGGAACGTTTTATTCGTGGCTCCCTCTAAGCGGCTATACGCAAAACTAAAAGACAAATCTGTCTGCTGCTATGTGTTTGTTGCCATCAATTAGCTTATTTTTATCCTGATCTTCTCTGTTATCAGTTGTAGCTGACAGTAGTTCTTGATATATCCTTTTTCAAGATTATATTGTTTTAGATTAAAGCTGAATTCTGCAACAACTAGGTTGTGAAACTGTTTGACAACTGACGTCATCACCTGGATAAGTCTTTGCGAATTGATAGAATTTCCGTATCTTTTTCACATCCCAATAATATAGTCTGATCTCTTAGTATTACGCTCTGTATTCTGAGGTAACTTCCAGGTATATCATCTTCTTGGTGAAAGCTTGTATATCGTGTTTGTTATTACCATTTCTTTTTCTTGTACAAATTCGACCAACCATATTCCTCTTTTAATCATCTGATTGTACCTCGTCATAATTAGGCCATAGTCAAATAATAATACTAACCTTGCATACAATATAAATGAAAAGAAAGGTATACACAAAAATATAGAAATTAACTGTAATTCAACCGTTTGGTCTTATCTCTATATATTGTCAATTGTGCTTCGGAACATTCCAGTTCATTAATTACGTAAAAAGTATATTGAGGGCTATTTGGTATAGCATTATCATCGTCGTTATGAAACTAATAAGGAATATATTTATAATAATAAGGAATATGTAATAACTGTACTTATATCCTCAGTGTCGTCTTTGTTTAGAAGTGTGTGTACACAGTGATTTATATTTCTTTCTGTGTGTTACATAATTGTTTCTGTCATTTTCCATGCCTTTTTACATCTATTTTTGATATAAGATTGATGTTCATTTATTCTGACATTTAATGGTCTTGATGTTTCACCTAAATAAAACTGATCGTATTCACAAGGTGTTTTATAAATCCAATTGGTATATCCTTTTGTTTTTCTCACAATCCTTTTACATATGGTATTGTTTTTTTCCTCGTATTATGTCTTGTAAATGTTATAGGATCCCGTTTTATGTGGTTCTATTTTCCTTTTTTTCTATTCTATAGAATTCCTTATTTATAAACGACAAGCTTTTCCAGGGCTTGTCAAAAATAAATGTTAAGTATATTAACCTTATATTTTTTGGTTATATTTGGTTCAAATGATAATGTTTTTCATAAATATTTAAATTTAGGTTGAAGATAAACAGTTTATTACTTAAGTTTACAAAGAACATTACATACAACAATAAATTAAGTCTACATAGCAATTAATGGTATAGCTAAAGTGCATTGATATACAGGGTGATCAACTTTTGTGACAAAGTTTGTTATATCTGATATAGAAGATACCAAGAAAAGCTAATTACAAAAATGGGAAGTAGATACAGCTTCACATTTTAAAATTGGTTACAAATATACAGGGTCTCTCATAACACTGTATCGCATCAAAAATATGTTTTTGTTTAATGAAACATGCCGCATTTTGTTTTATATTTGAAATGCGCTTCACTTCGTCGTTACAAGCAAAGTTATTTTGTATTATATATGGGATTTAAAAAGTTATAACCAAATTTCAGAAAAATATTAACAAGTTCAACGCCCTGTACAACTAAAAAAGGATACAAAAGCAACAACCTTAGTACTTTTAAATGCACGACACTTAAAGCTAATGTAGTTTAATTTGTTCTGATTATGTCTTATGTCTATAATTTAAGTAAATAAGTTGTGCAGATATTTTAAATTGTTATGGGAAAAGGTCTACTCGTATTCTACTACAAATATCTTGTACACATGTCTAATAAGCCGCAATAGAAGGTTATTAAGCGAAAAAGCTATAGATTTTAAACGGGAAGCCGCTGCATTTGGTCTAATTAAAAGTGAAAGGCAAACAAAATACATATATGGAGTGTACAAAGTTAAATCGACATGAGAATCTGAAGGTAGACAACCATACCTACGAATGCGCAATGTAAAGAACAATAAAGCACCAGGATCCGATCAAATAGCATCGGAGTTACTGAAGGAAGGAGCCGTCGCACTACAAAAAACAATACATGAATTGATAACAAAGATATGGTCGAATAAACACGCTGCCTAATGCAGCATACAAAATAATGTCCAACGTCATTTATGAAAGACTTAGACCACACTCTGAAAAAATAGTTGGCAAATACCAAAGTGGCTTCTGTAGACAGAAGTCAACAATAGACCAGATATTTTTTCTCCGACAGATCCTCGAAAAAACAAGTGAATATAAAACATCGACACACATCATCTTTTCATAGACTTTGAAAGCGCATATCACAATATAAACCGAGAATTCTTAATAAAAACAATGAAAGAATTTAATATACCAACACAACTAATAGAACTGATAAAATAATCTCTAAAAGTAGAAAGTAGAATCCAGAAAATAAATTAACGGAAACAATAGATGTAAAAAAGGGACTACGCCAGGGAGACGCTCTATCATGCATCTTGTTCAACATCGCACTCGAAAAAATACTGCAATCATTAATAAAACGTGCAAATACTAGCACTTGCAGATGATGTTAACATAATCGTAAGATCAAGAAGAGAAATGATAGAGGCATTCTACCAAATCGAACGAGCTGCACAAAATAGTAGTCTTAAAATCAATCAGACGAAAACAAAATATATACAGTTAAGTCAAAACGCAGAAATAAGGCAGCCACAAAATATAACAATAGGAGAATACAATATTGAGGGGGTAAAAAACTTTATATACTTGGGATCCCTAGTCACGTCTGATAATAACGTTGCGGAGGAAGTGAAGAGACGAATATTTATTGCCAATAAGTGTTACCATGGCTGTGGGGGGTTAACAAATAATGTACTATGACGAATTAATAGTAAATTAAATTAATAGGAACTATTCCTTCGATAGCTCTGGCAAGATAAATGAACTTTCACTCATAGGTGCAAATAACAAATAATATCAAACTTTCAATGGTTGCAATAAACAATCAAAAAACAATACAAAGGTTAGGTAAAACTAGGTGAACTTACCGTACCGCTAATTACCATGATTCACTACCATAAAAAACAAAGAACAAAACGACTTCAATCTGAATGCATCGATGCACTAGCGGAGGGTTGCGTCTTTACTTCTCAACGACTTACGCTCTTGTGTCTTATCGGGATGCATACCCGAGCGGTACCAATAGGGATCGTAGGAATACAGGGGGAGGACAAATGTCTTGATCAATTTATACAACCATATTTTAAACAATTAAACTAAGATCAGATAACGTCGCAAGAAAAACAAAATGCCAAATATATAAAATCTTAATAAGACCGGTACTCACATACGGCTCAGAAACCTGGACACTCACTAAAAGAGAGAAAACATTGTTAGCCACTTTCGAAAGAAAAATCTTGCGATACATATATAAGGGCACAAAAGAAAACGGAATATGGCGATGAAGATACAACTGAACTATACAAAATATACCAGGATCCGGATATTATAACATTCATTAAAATAGGACGGCTGCGTTGGATAGGACATGTAGAAAGAATGGAAGAAGGCTAAATATCAAACAAAATATTCAAGCAGATGCCAGTAGGAAAAAGAACAAGAGGAAGACCGAAGCTGAGATACTTAGAACAAATAGAAAATGATATATCAACCTTAAAAATAAAAAACTGAAGAAAAAAAGCACGAAACAGATCAGAATGGAGAAGAATCCTGGAACAGACCAAGACCCAAAAAGGGTTGTCGAGCCAGTGATGATGATGATGGCAGTATTGGAAGGCCTTGTATATTTGTACCTCCCTATTTTTGGAAATAACTTTTTTTGTCTCTCCTATAATAACAGAAATAACGGACTTTGCCACAAAAATTGATCACTCTGTATTGTGAAATTTATTAATAATCATAAAAAATGTAGAAAAAAATAATACTTCTGCTTCTGGCTTGCTTCCGCAATTGTTTTAAATCTGCTTTTAACAATTAAGTCTTATACAAGAATAACACACGAATATTGTTCCGGCAAATAGTATCATCGAAATATACGTTGTTTATGTATTTTAATTAAAACAAACTATATAAATTTTATTTTAAAATTAAAAATAAATTATTTCTTCTTCAAGCTGCTTATAAAAATAGTAAAAATAAAATAAAAAAAATAGTAAATACATTGCTACAGTTCAGAATTTTTTTTGATTTACTAAACAATACATTTTTTTTCTTTATTTAGGGCTACAGCTGAAGAGATGCGACAAGCAGCGACTGCAGAGGAAAACGCAGTGCCACCATCAAAAGGTATGCGATCGAATCTTGTCGCTCACGCTCAGCCTATCAGTTTCAGCGGTGCGCCGGTTTTTGACAGCAATGTCTGAAAATATCTACGCACTATTACATCCTCGTTTTCCATATTTGGTCATCCCTTATACCCCCTTCCCCCAATTTTGATATAAAAGTGAAAGTCGACCATTGACATGTAGAAGTCAGAGTACAAAAATATTAATAACAAATAAAAAGAAGTTGTGTCAGAAGTACGTATCCTTTATATACGTATATCGTATCTGACTGTTGACAGCTGCATATCCCAAGTATACTGATTAAGACCATTATCACAACGTCCTCCACCTATTTCGCTACGTAAATAAAATGAGGTTATTAGACCCAGCAATCGTGTACGCGTACAAGCTGTATGAATTAATTAACGAAGGTGTCAAATAAACATTTCCGTGAACATCATTTAGGCCAAAAAGTAACTCACCTACAACTTGGGTGTAGTTGGTTTTGACATAAAGAATGTGGTTCTCAGGTACCTAATTGTTATTGCATTAAATATATTTGTACTTCCAAATAATTTTCTTACTCAACAAATTTACGGTACAACGAATAAAAGACATATAAGACATGTTCGATAATATTGTGGACGTTCTTGTTAAAACTCAGTAATGAAATTAAATTTCCAGGGACCATTCACCAATTTTTTTTTATTTAGTTTATATGGAAACAAAGTCAATATCAGTTTTATTTGTAAAACTTCCAAAATGATATAAGACTAGTATTATATTTTACAGAATAAATTGTGCATTCAGACTTCTACATCTCTCATTCACTATTCATTTTTGTAGATAATGTGTATTAGGTAATAGTAGTATACTATATTTTTTATTTGAAACATAGAGGCAGTCTTTAAACTTAGATATCAAAACATATACAGTCTAAACGATGAAATAATGCCAGTGGGTTTGTACAGCAGTAAGTTATTTAGATATATTTAAAAGATAATTGTTTTTATATAATTCAGACAAATTTGACAATATAACTAAAAGGCAACAAGATGAATATTATAATTATTTCAGTGGGATGCAATCTCTGGTGGGTTTAATTTCTCCTCGCGAATTTGCAAAGAAGTTTTCAATTCTTGAGCGTTATTGGTGTAATAAAAAAGATCTCTGGTAATATGGTAATGAAATATTTAGTAATATTTTTTTTTTTATTTGAATTTTGGATTAATAAGTACCAAATTAGGTATTAATACAAAATAATTAGATGACTCAACTGTCTGGTGAGCTTCGATGTGGGTATTTTAATGGATCCATGGTGTTTAAGCTTCTTCTTCTTTTTGTGCCACTCCTATCGGAGATTGGAAATCATCAAGGCTATTCTGACCTTGTTTACGGCTGACCTAAAGAGTTCATTAGTGGTGTAGCCAAACCACTCTCTCAAATTCCGCAACCATGACATTCTTCTACGGCCTGGATTCCGTTTTCCTTCTATATTTCCCTGCATTATATTTTGAAGTAATGCGTATTTATGTCCTCTCATCAGGTGACCAAAATATTCGAGTTTTCTTCGCTTTAGCGTTAACAAAATCTCTGGGTCTTTTCCTATTCTTCGTATTACTTCACAGTTTGTTATTCTTTCAACCCAACTAATCTTCAGCATTCGACGGTAGCACCACATCTCGAAACTTTCAATATTTTTCATGTTGTTCCGTTTGAGAGTCCAGGCCTCTACACCGTATAATAGCGTGTTAAATACATAGCCTCTCAGCATTCTTAATCGTAGAGGGATGCTTATATTTCTGTTGCAGAAGAATTTTCTCATCTTTATGAAGGTGGCCCTGGCAATTTCGATACGTCTTTTTATTTCACTGTTTTGGTCTCCAGTTTCGTTTATTAAAGTTCCCAAGTATTTGTAACTTGATACTTTTTCAACTTTAGTGCCGTTTATACTAATATACGCTGGTTGTGTCATGTTTTTACTGAAGACCATATACTTGGTTTTTTTAATATTGATATTTATACCATAATTGTTGCAAGCAATATTTATGTCTGTAAGTAATCTTTGTAATTCTTCTACTGTTCTTCTACTCGAATCGAGTCTGTCGATGGGTGAGTAGTAGTTCGTTGATTGTTATGACATTTTCTTATATTTATTCCAGTAGTCTGGGATTAACCAGTGGTGTTACAAAAGATGGAGAATATTAATAATAAAAATATATTAAAATGAAAAAGACAGCAAATATTTGATTTCACGCAAACAATCCCTATGTATCTGTTGATACGTATTTCGACCTAATAGGTCTCATCATAACAGCTATTCATAGGAGTTCTCAACGTGAAAAATCAATATTTTCTGTCTTTTAAGAAGCAACAAGAAAATGGCTTCAATACGGACGCGATAGCGACATCTAATTACAAAATCCGTAAAATAGTTTCGAAACACAATGGCAAAGCCATTGGCTTTTACAACTCATTCCAATATTTGTGAATTGGTCAAAAAATTCCCAATGCAAAATAATTTTTGAAGTATTAAATGTCATTTTCGATATAATGTTCTATAGATTTTCAATGGGTTCTATAGAGTCAGAACTTGGGAAAGCATTTATATTATTGTTGTTCACCCGCTCGCTTTTTATTCGAGCAGTATGAACTAAAAAATTATACTGGAATACAAATATTTAACTTATATAAAACTGGAAAAACTGCCCTGAATATTATGTTGTTTAAGATGTCTAGGTGGGGCTCGGCTGTTCGACTCAAATTTGTCTGCCCGGCAAGTGACATTTTCAAGTTTGGAAACAAAATAAGTCGCACGGGGTGAAATCTGGATAATATGGTGGATGGGACAGCAGTTTGTAGCCTAATTGGGCCGTGATGATATTGAAGGTGTAAGTCGGTGCTTTGTCATGGTGAAAGAGCATTTTTTCTCAAATGAGGGCGATTTTTTTTCTGCAATTCGGCATCGAATCTGCGCAATAATTCAACATAGTAGAGACCGTTTTGCCCTTGCCATGCAGATATAATGCTTCGCACAGCTTGCATGCTTTCTCCAGGTAGTTCATGAAGAGTAGGTCATATCTTGTCAATCCCAGAAAACGCTGTCCGTCACCTTTCCAGACGATAAGACAGTCTTCGCTCTGAGCTCGTTCGCCGAGTGAAGTCCATTGCTTCGACTGTTCCTTAGTCTCTGGTGTGTACTAGTGTATCCATGTCAAACGTTGCTCTGAAGTGGTCTCACGGTTAAGCTTGTGGTCCGGAGTGAGTATCGCGCAGACAGCTTTGTCATGCTCAAAATTTCATGCAGGCTATTACCTACGTGGCCTTTTGAGATATCTCAGCTATCTGGCAGACATTCAATCGACGATTTGTCAGTACGACAGTGTTACACGATAGTAATTCTCTTGCGATAGTGACGCCATCGGGCGGTAAGGCTAAGTACTTATTGGACCGCCTTTGTATTCTGCGGTTCGTTAAAAGCTTCTTCAGAGATCATTCATTGTCTTCGTTTTCATTAAAACTTCCTATAACTTTTCTGAAAGATATTGGTAATCTTTGTTCGTCTTAGCAGCCTTTCTTATCGTAAAGTATGGATTTAATAGAAGCGATGAATGGCTATGATGCCAAATCAAAATCATACAATTAAAATTTGGCGTTCACCTTTTGGTTTAGTTGACTTTCCATGAGATCGGGTCTTGCGGCTTGGTGACTTTTTAATGACGCGGCATTCGTTTATAAAAGTTTTTTTTCGTTTGTTTCTTTTGTTTTAATTGGAGTATTTTATCGAATTAGTCTAAATAATTATTTTAAAAATTCAGATATATTCACAATTGCATAATTGTCTAATAATTTTGCTGTGCAAACCCTTTGTACTCATGGGCACTAATGGTATTTTAAATATTTTTTAGTATGTTGTTAGATTTCATATCCACTGTCCTTACTTTTAGTAAATTTTTATATTGTGATATAATTTATTATTAGCTTATTGGTAAATTATTTTTGTGTCTTATAAAAATGGTTAAGTAATCTTATATACAAATAGTCCACCTCGGTATCTTACTGAGTGACACAGTTTAGTGAGTCGCTAGAATTTTTCTAAATAAAAAAAGCTGAATTTTTTTATCGGATCCATAATCCGACTTTACTTAGTAACGAGACATTTACTCTACACAAAGAGTACTCAAAAGATTAATCCGTAATAATAATGCATGGTTGGTGAAGATAATATAGAAATACGTATAAATGTTACTCTACATTGTGTTTGGTACATACTAAGGCGAGTTTTCACCAAATTTCCTAGTTTTTTTAATTTCCCACAAAATTTTTCAGGTTATCTAAAAAAAAAATAATAACACTGTTATCAGATGTATAAATGTCAAATTTTTACCTAGAAATATAAAAAAATATCAAACATCTGTTTCCCGAATATAAACTATCATTATCTAGCCATGTATTTATGCTATACTATCAATCTATTTTGGAACGGTATTTAAGTTATTTAAACCATTTTTATGAGACATAGTCCAGTCGGGTATTTCTAAAATAGCGTGCTTACATTGGTTGTAGTCAGTCGGAGCTTACATTTTTGTAGAAGTGTATCCGTAAGGTTGTGCATAACTTGAATATGAATATGCTCCAACTGAAAAAGTTCAAATAAAAAAATCGTCATTATAAGCCACTATTTTTCTATGGTCCATCCTGAATATATCGAAAAGTGTCATCTATGAAGAAATTTGCTTATGAGAAATGAAAAATGTATCTTCAAAACAATTGAGTAAGGAAAATGAGAGGTTTTTCTGTTTTTATATTTTTACAAAAATAATTTCATCAATTTTTCACATAATTCACCGATTTTAAATTTTCAAAGTGGATTTAACAGCATCGTTAGGTAAAAATCAAAGATGCCCATAACAAACAATTTTTGACACAATAAAAATTTGAAAATTTTCGAATTTTCCAGACAGAGGCATTGCATCATTATTGTGCAAAGACAGAAAAAGGCATTACATTTTTTATTTACACCATTTTTGGAGATATCTTTAAATTTTTAAAACCAATTTTTCATAAATTTTAAAAAGAATTCGATTTCTGATAGACAA